AATTGGGCTGGAAAAAACAACAGCAAGATGTGATGATAGCCACATCACTCCTGTGTGCTATAGGCTCCAGGTGTGCCTTCACCAAGCTAACCCTGCTAGTGGGCTGCTAGGCTCAGTCCAGACCTTGGACATATAAATTCCAACTGAAGTCCAGTACAAGCTGTGGGGTGAGCAGCATCTATGAAAATTAAGACCAGAATGATTTGGTTCAGCCCATGCAGGAAGCCTACAGAAAGTTTCTAGGTTGGCCAAATGTGGATTCACAGGAATAGATAAAGACCTCTCCTTGACATGAAGATCAATTTCCCACCCAAATTCAAGCCTTGTTTCAACACACAGAGATACTAGAATGTTTCAAAGGAAGGGTCACCAGAACTTTTTAACACGGGCAAAACAATATATTTTTCCCTTAATTTCATTCGTGAAAACAGTTGAACCACTTTGGCTAAAACTTTCCAAAAATATTAAGCAAATGCCTGGTTCAAGACAGGTCATTCCAAATGGTTAAATTACATGAAGGTGCAGGCAACTGAACACAGGGCTTTGTAATGTGAAGTGTCAGCAAACCTTAAACTAAAAAAAGCAAATCTGAAAAATAAAGCATCATACCCATGGATGTTCATCTCACTTCCCCATTTAGAAAAAATTGGTTTGACAACAAATTATTGTTCAAGTGTAAACAGAGCTCCATTTCTCCATGTCCCTCTTGTCTGTTGTTTTTTTGTTTTCCTTTGGGTTTTTTTTAAACCTGAGTACAACTTCCGTGGATTTGCTTTTGAGCCCTGATGGTTTATCCCTGCTGCAGCAGCAGCAGAGACTTGTGTGAATACAGTCTATATGCAACAGTGATTCCAGGACACAAACTGCTGCCTCTATAGAAACTCTGGGAGTTGGCTCCACATGCCATGGCAACAAGAACAAGACCTTTCAGAGAAAGCAATAAGTAGATAGGTCGCCAAAACTTTATGAGTGTATTAGAATATATTTTCCTCAAGGAGAGAGTGGATTTGAAGGCTCTATTAGGCTCAGGGAAGAGATCAAAATAGGGAAGCAGGTTTCAGAAGCATCTGGACCCAGCTCCCAACCAAAAGGACAGGTGACCTGAATATCCTATGCTTTCCCAAGAAATTCAAGCTAAACATTAACAAAAATAAAACATTATGCTCTGGACATGCAGTTTGAGCACCCAAAAAACCCCTAACATCACTCCATAATGCCACAGAAAACCACTTAAGTATTTTAGTGTTTGTAGTCCCACATGAGACTAAGCAGGAAAACAAGACCTGGAATTATCTTTCTCTTTGTGCACCTACATGGCAGTTTTCTACCCTGTGGACAAATACAAGGTGCCTGGACTGAGGATGAACAGTAGGAATACACACCTGGGCTAGGTACAGGTATTCAGAAAGCCCAAGACAAAAATCAGTCTAAGTTGCATGGTTTTCTATAAGCGTTGTAGTTTAGATCAGTAGCAAATAGAATATACATTTACCCTTTGGTAGGAAGAACAAATCTTAGACTGGGGCTCCACCATTTTTAAACCAGTCTACGTGTGCCGAACTTCTGTTGTGGGTATAGACCAGTTTCTGATCACTTATACCAGTAAAAGTGTGATGTCTGTACCTGGCCCAGTTGTGTTACAGATTTGAATTGATTTCTGATCACTTGTACTGGTTTGTGTGTAATTTCCATCCCTAGCCTTGAGGTTAAGTTCAAGAAAAAGCAGAGGAAGAAGCTCCACAAGCTGAATGACTAAGGTATTGGCTTTGATAAAATGGACCCAGTTTCCAGTCCCCCTAAAGAAAGCTTGAACCTTCATCTCACTTACCTCCTAGCACAGCATGCAAGCCACCACTCCACAAGTCAAGCATTATTTGAATCCTTTTCTAGCACTCCCTCTGAAGCTGAGTCATTGCACCTGATGACTACTTGCTATTGGATAAAATGGAAGAAGAGCAGTGCAAAAGTAACTACTCCTCTGGGGCAAAGCTCAGACTAGAGCTCAATGCATATTCCTTGACATAGCAATAACTATCTCACTGAACCCCATATTGCTCTCTTCTTGGGCTTACACATTTCCCTTTCTGGGCTTCCTGGTGAGCCAGCTTCAAAAAAGCACACCAGAAAAGCCTCTAAATATTATTTAGCTAGTAATCTGCCTGTCGGTATACTGTGTTAGGAAATCAAAAAGGTGCCTTTCCCCTTCTAGGGAAAGGCAGCCCAGAATCCTGGTTTCTGAGTAAATATCCTGTTACTGTTAATGAGGTTAAAAAAGAAAAAAAGAGGATCCACCTCTGGCATCTAACATTGGATGACTGGGTATATTTTCATGACGTGGATGCAGGTATGTATCCATAATGGGTGTGCACATATAGCTGCATACCTGCCTACTGTGTGTGTACCCTGCTGTGCATGCTCAGTTCATGCTCACATGCTTGTGTGTCAACACTATGATGGAAACAGAATCATTATCTTCATACTATGCCACTTATGTGGGTAGAAAGCTGCCATTTAAGCACACAAAGGGAAACAATTCTATGCACATCCTTCACTCCTGCATTATTTTAACTCTCACCCCACACACCGGATCCCAGCCTTGCAGACGGGTTTCTGTTAGGAATGACACTTCAGTAACATGACCTCCTCAGAGATCTACCATGTTTTGCTCAGCTTTAAGGGTGGAAGATGTGCCCATCTGATAGTGACTTGTTCAAATAGGCCATCAGTAGGGTGACCACATACATCCTGGTTTGGCCAGGGCAATCCCAGATTTTGTAGGCCATGCCAGCATCTCAGTCAGTCGGTGAAAATTAAAACAAAAGTCCCAGAATCACGAGGACATGGGTCATAGTCTGGTGGATAGGTTGAGTGGCATGGTGCACTAGGCAGGTGGGATGCATGTCTTGCCTGACCACCTGGTATACCATGCTGCTCTGCCTCCCTTCTGGTCTGCACCGCATACCCCTGCCCGCTTGCCTCTGCCTGTAGCAGCACTGCTGACAGGGTCCAAGATTTCCTTGAAAATAATATAGTCACCCTAGCTATCAGGGTGTTTCTGTTCTTATTACTGGAGAGTTGTATACCGTATGTGGGAAGGAGCTGCCTTTTTGAAACATAAACCATATCCCCTGTGACTTGCTTGTGAATCCTGATCATTCTGGAAGAATGTCCCATGAATACAGTGGTAGATTTAAGTCATCTTCCTTTACACAAATTGTCTCTTTACATCTTCTAGGTGGAACTCTGCAGCATGCTCCAGTTGTAATATTCCTTGATAAGGGACAAGCTCCTGATGTTGCTTATATCACTCTAGTGCAAGGCTATGCATTAAGAAACTATCATTACCTGAGCCATATGGTCTCTCTGTGCTGCATTCTCTACTCTTGCTTTTAAAAAGTGTAGCTCACATTCATGCTTATGCTGTTAAATGTATGAGAGTGCACCATAAAATAAATAGTATGTGCAATTTGGCTGAGTTAGCATTACTTCAAGAATTCTAAGCTTTTCATATAGTAAACTTAATGTTGCAGAAATAGATGTTTTTCAATGGTTTTTAAAGCTGTTTGTGTTTGGTACAAGAAATAGCTATTTTTGGGTCCTGCTTGACACGACTCACACAGTTTGTGCTTAGAAAGACCTAGGAGTGAAACAGCAGGGATGTCAAAGGTCCATTGCAGGTCAGAGTGGAGTGTGTGTAGCATCGTGCTTTACCTTACGATTGCTATCTGTCTTTCATGTTTCCGTGTTGTCTAGTAGCTCTGAGGATTAAGACTCTATTGTGCTAGGCACTATAAAATTCCTGGTGAGAGACAGTCTCTACCTAAAAAAGTTTACAGTCTAACCGCACAGGACAGAAAGGGGAGAGGGGTAAGGAAACCGAGGCAAAGAAGAGTAAAATGATTTGTCCAAGATCATAACAAAAATCAATGACAGAACTAGGTATCCTCTCTCTTTAGTCAACAGCCCTGGCCAGTGGACCATACTATTTCCATGGTTTGTGCACTGTTTCCAGTACAGAAGTCCAATCCAAAGATAAAGTCAATAAAAATAGTCCGATTGGCTTCAGTAATCCCTGGATCAGACCCGTTGTCCTTCCCATGCATGCCTGAGCACTAAATGCTTGCACAAATATTTATTAAAGGTATAGAAACACACTATTAATTTTATCCTTCCTAATCAGATGTCATATGGCTGATTAATTCTTGTGTATTTGGATAATTTACCATTAATAAAGCTATAACCTTTCATTCCGATCATGGAATGATGGAATTACTGGGGAGCCATTTGGAGAAGGAGTGAAAGCATGTGCCAATGTTAATATTTATATCATTAACTGTATTGTGAAATGTGTCTTTAAAACTATTTTCAGTCTTTTTTTTTCTCTTTTTTTTTCCACCAGCTTATTTCCAAGGGAGTAAAAATGCAATGTTCATAGACTGTGGTGCCATTAATTTCAGAGATGGCATAAATCCTCTGAATTGGCAATTAAACTGAAGCCTTGAAAACAAGCTCAGTGATTTCTTCTTAGTTCTTTTAGGCAGGGAAAAGTTCATGCCCACAGTTTAGCAGCAAAGAAGCTCAGGAAATTTATTAATGCTCCAGAAACAGGTAATCAATCCCTTCAGGTCAAAGATGAGAGGTGCTAGCATCAGGGCTTAAAGAGAAACCCTCCAGTAGGTCATTTGGTATTGGCTTTGGATTAGAGGGATTCATCTCTTACAGCTGAAGGTTCTGGTTTCTCTCTCTTGCTCACTTATCACCCCCTCCCACCCCTCTCCCCTGCTTTTTTAAAGGAAAAGTCTTCATAGACTAAAAAGAAGTGGATGGGGATTTTTTTTTTCTTGGATGTAACTGACACTTCTCATTGCAAAAGCAACAGCTAACCTCTGACACAAAAGAAATCTATAAAAAAAAACTATGTATCACGGGAAGGGGCACTAGAAACTGACACCTTATGAAGGTAAAGAACAATGCAAAGCACTTGACACTGGAATTTGTACCTTATAGCTGCCATGTGTGTCATTCCCAGGCAGTACAATGTCTTCACACTTGGAAGCCTGTAGAACAGCGAATTGAGGACAGGATGTCTCTTGCTTTGCACTTTCTGTTCCACCAGCTTCCTTGTCTGTGCACTCCTTGCTGGTATCAACTCTATCATCTCCAGGCTTGCTTTTATTCATCAGAGAACTAGGAATAGCTAAGGAAAAGTAAAAAGAAAAATCTATATCTATTATGGATTATATATATATATTGCGTGTGTGTATTTAGCCGATTACAACCTAAAACAGATAACTGAGGCTTACATATTATGCACTGTTTTATAGTGGGGAGATCACATAAGAAATCTTTGGCTTCATGCTGTGCCCTGCTAGCAAATGTAATTTATTTTCCACACTACCTGCCTTCTCTAGCAAACAATGGCTGTAGATTAAAGCCTATTTATGGGTTTGGTATATTTCTGTTGCTGGTGAAAGGCAGGACAGAATAAATTATAGGATTCTTAGAATCAAACAGCAACCAGCGAATTGTGTTTAAGATCATGATTTCTTCTGAGATAGCCAAGGCAAGTTAATTGGTGCCGGGAGAAATAATAGATGTCATCCATGATCTTAAATGCCTGGAACTGAATGGACACCCTGTACAAAACAAACAGGCTGTGCCTGGGGTTGCTGCAATTCACTTTATGCTGCACAGACCAGCTCTATTCTCCACGGTTGAAGTGAAGGGGGAAGACTGTGGATGAACCAGTAAGTGGCAGGTGTACAGCCAGCTAGTGGCCTAGATGCACGGATAGCAGCCCTTCCTTGAGGCAAGGTGCAACAGGCCATGGCAAGCATTATAGCCCAAGGCTAGTACTGACAGCAAAGAGAAAGCCGAGTAGCTTCTCTGTCATGTGCCTCCTCACTGGCAAGGAGGTTTCCAGCCAAGTAATTCTACGACACATAGTGCCTTTACTCAAGCTGTGCTCTACATTGTACAACCATTACTCGTATTGGTGAGGAGCAGTGATTGTAGATTCTCATATAACTGCTTAGCAAGGCAATCTAATACTTCCTAACAGGGGCCCCCCCCAAGTAAAATATCCTTGCGCCTGAAGATTTTGGGTTGAGATAAATATGCGGTTCCAAATGAAATGACTTTGCTGATCTCAGCTTCCTTCCCAGCGGACAGAACTGCATGTTCAATTTGAATGTGTCCCTTTGTTTTCCAGTTTGGCAAATTCAGTGAAAATATAATAAGCTCGTGTTGGGAGTGCCTCCTGGATAATTTTCTATGTATCAGCAATGTGTGTATGTTGGTAACATCCTGATGTGAGTAAAGAAGGTAAAAGTATTTCAGCATCCTGAGCTGCTGAACAAAGCTGAGGCTATTTAATGGGAAAGGATGCACCTAGTTTTAATTAGGAAGTCTAGCAGACCCTGAACTGTGAGCAAGCAAGACACAGAGAATCTAATCTCTGTCATTTGGACTAATTTCACATGGGCAGGCTTTTGTTGAAGCTTTTCCTTATTTATAGGGGTGTGCATGGAAGTAGAATCAACTCCTCAAACCGAAAATCAGGATTCAAGTAATTTGTTATTTTTTAAAACTTTTGGTATCTGTCTAGGACCCACAATATAAAAGCTAGGCAGTACCAACTAATTCCTAGATTAAAATGTGCAGTACCATCTACCACATTGCTAATCTCAGTTTACTAGCTTGCATGGTAACTAAATCCCCTATCATCCCTTCCATAGATGATCCATGCAGATCAAATCTGACAGGCCAGCGTGGGGTAATTTGTGCTGGGGCTGCATGCAGCGTACTAGTTTTTAGATAAATTCTCATTTCCAAAGCTTTGAACGCTTAGCTTTGAAACTCTGACACATAAAAGGGGGGAAAAAAGCATCTGAGAAAAAATGTGTTTTCTGTCTGTCTTTCTCCCTTTCTTTCTTTCTTTGTTTTTTTCAAAAAAATCCCTTCTGAAGAAATGGAAGGAAGTGTAGACGGACTGCCATCTATTGGCATGCCCATATAATATCTATGATGAATGAACATTTCTTAGTCAAATGCAGCAAGAATACACCATTTCAAACCTGACATAGAATGGTAGCTTGCTATGTGCAGCAAGATTAACAGATGAGGACCGGCTAATATAATATAATATAATATAATATAATAAAGAAAAATATTGGGCTAGGAATCTTTTTTTTCTTTTTAATAAACTATAAAACCTCTTGCATTCTGCAGTCAGCAGATTCTGACTAACCTTTATTACTGATGCAGGTTTAAATGCAGTTAATACATATCTGGACCCTGTGTGCATCAGTATTATTTATATAGACCTGTCAACTTACATAGCACTTTGCAAAAAATCATTAAAAAGAACTTCAATCCCTAACCACTTTATAATCTATCTGGGGCTAATTGGATACTTTGAGATGATTCAGGACAACAATTCCATCACAGGAAGGCACAAAGACATAGTTGTTTAGGTGATCAATAAAGGAAGCATTGGAAAAAGAAGTAGGCCTTAGGCAAAGGTTTCAAAGTAGCAGAGAGTATTTGGAACAGGAGTTGTAGAAAGATAGCTGTATGGAGAACGGGGCATGGAAGAAGGTATAGAGTAAGCAGAGAAAAAGAAATGAGAGCAGACAACATGGATGCTTCTGTATCTTGTTAGCATTCTCCTGAACCAGCTGTTCCTACTTGGGAGTATCTATTATCTTTCAATTTTATTGGTAGTTGGCCTAAATTGTATACAGTCAATCAGAGCCAGCTAATCAGAATCTCTTGGTGGATTCAATACTACTGGGTGCGTCTAAACGAGATATTTACTGCAGAGTTGACCAATTAGTTCTGCAGGAGGCCTGTGTGAACCAGCTAGTATTTGCTTTGGATTCAGATTCAGCTGATTCGGGGGACAATGATTTGATTTGGTGATTCGAATCACTGCCCCGAATCTGATTCGGAGACTTGGCTGCTGAATCTCTGAATCAGCCAGGCCCGTCCCCCACCCACTCTCCCAGCCTGGCAATGGCTGCCCTGAACAGCCCAGCTCTATGCACTTTGAGAAACAAAGCCTGAACTCACCAGGTGCTGCCAGGTGGGGAAAGGGATGATCCCCACTGCCCCACGCTGCATGGGGGGCTCAGCATGAGCCTCCCGACCTTCCCCGTCTCAGCTCCCCACCCCCATGGCTGCCCTGCCCACTGCAGCTCTGGGCAAAAAAACAAAAAAACCCCAGACTCCCCATCCCTGCTGGTGGGGGACAATCCCCACTGCCCCCCCCTGCCATGTGGGGGCTCTGTAAAAGTCCCCTAAAGCCCCGAGGCTGCTGCAGGAGTGGTGAGTCCCGGGGCTTTTCTCTCTTTTTTTTTTTCTTAAAGGGCCAGAGCTGGGGTGGGCGGGTCACCGGTGGCAGGGCTGGGGGAGCAGGGGCAGGAGTTGGGGGGATCATGCAGAGCCCCCCATACAGTGTGGGGCAATGGGGAACAGCAGGGTTAGCCCCCAGCCCAACAGCACCCGGTGAGTACCAGGGCTTTTTTTTAAATGCCGTGAGCTGAGGCAGGCAGGACAGCCATGGGGGGCTGCGGGAGAGGGCAAGGGATGGGGCCTGGCAGGGGTCCCCCTATGGTCCCTTCCCCCAGCCCCCCTTCCCTGCCCCTAGTACTTACCGGGTCTGCGTCCAGCTCCAGCTCCCTGCCCAAGTCATCAAAGATTCGGAGAGCCTTGAATCGATTCAGACCTTTTAACTGGTCCCAATTCAATTTGGATTCAGAGATTCAGCCACCAAATCTGGCCGAATTTCCTCCAAGTCAAATCGCCACCCGAAGCTTCGCACAGCCCTACTCCGCAGTAAAACGTCACCATCTACATGTGCAATACCATTAGACTGGAGTAAGCTAATTAACTCTCCTGCAGAATAGTACTACCAGGTACAAGTACTATCCTGCGGTGGAGTACTTTACTCCACCGCAATGCTCGTGTAGACAGGGGCCCAGCTGGCTGTGGCAGGAGGGTGCTGGTGCAGAGGCTGCCTGCCGGCTAGCCCCACAGTGTAGTGCCCTCATGCCTCACCCAGCCCGTCTACAGCACATTGAGCTGGAGGGAACAGCCCTGGGCTGGCAGGCTGACCCAAGACACCTGATAGCTGGAGCTGTTCTGCCCTGGCAAACTGCTCCCGAGTTTATTCAGCCACCTCAATATCACCTGTAGATGGGCCCCCTGGGTACTAAACCTAAAGCAAACTGTATAAGCTGGAATCAACAATTCTAGTAAACCATGTTTCTCACCTTCTTTATCATAGCAGACTCTATGGCTTCTGCCATCAGGGACTGACCGTATAACAATATTTGACACTTTTCTTTTGCTCTATCCATATGAAAGACCCATGGAATGAGAATTTGGCTCAAATGAGGTTAATGAAGTCTTGCCACTGATTTCAGCAGAGCCAGACTTTCCACTTCTCTGCTCGACCCCTCTATACTAGCTTTTTTGTCCTTCTCCCTTATTGCTAAACAGAATAAGACCCATATTGGTATAAGGATGTTAGCAATAACCAGCTTTTAAGCATCCTCTATGAACTAACCTGGTGATTTCAGGCCAGCCCCTAGTACACAAGTGTCCACGTTGTACCCAAACTACCACCCAAACCAACAGGAGCTGGATCTCTTGTTGATGATCCAAGCAGAGAAGCCAAGGCATTAAAAAACCCCATATACTACTCTTTTTTTGTCAAATGCTACCCCCACATTGATGCAAAACTCTAGAACTCTTGGCTCAGAAATGATTCCTTTTATTGGACCAACTAAGAAATTGCAAAAAACAAACAAAAAAAAAAAAGAGTTGGTGTAATAAAAGATATCATCTACGAGCCAAGAGTTTTAGAGTCTTGCATTTCTTTTTGTCTCAGACCAACACAGCTTGATCGCACTGGGGAAGGCTGCAGTGCTTGCAGCCTATAATACAGCTGTCTGTGGACAGAAAGAAGAATACTAAACCAAATCCTCAAATCATGCAAGTCCACGGAGCTCCGATGACTTCAGTGGTGCTATGCCAGTTTACTCCAGTTCAGGATCTTGTCTTTCAGTGCCAAAGCTATCGCCATCTAGAAAAACAACGTTCCTTTTCAGAGCGAGACAATGCACCATACCTGCTTTCAGGAGGAAGATCTTCAAGGACTTATTTCTTCTGGCACTAGAAGGATAAACTGGTGGGCATTATTATGAAGTAAAACAGGGAGCTGCAATAAGGTGTCTCGCAGCTGTTTACCAAGTAGATAGCTTAATGTTAATGTCTGTTAGATCAGCATGGTAACAGCCTCCAGAGGGTGTGTAATAAACAATATGATCAGAGTTTAAGTGCAGGGAGTATCAGATTCCACTGCTGACTGACAACATGAGAGATTGGTTTATTTACTATTAGGAAACCAATTTATAGTGTTGTGGTGTTGCCATGTTCTTGTTTACTAGGAACTAATATGTAGCTTTCATACTTATTTGCTGTGTAAACACATCTTTCCTTCCCAATTCCAAACAGACAGTTGGTGAAGCTGGTACTATATAGCAAGGGTTATATCCTGAGGGCTGTTACACACATTAATACTGCAAACCAGAATTAAAACGGGACCCAGCACATGCGGAAGGTTTGTTTTGAGGTCTTAAATAGGAGGTAAGTGATGCATTAGACTCACATTGTCCATCTGCACAGAATTTCACCCATTGTGTCTATTTTCCTGCATCACTTCAGCATACAGATAAGGATTTTGCTCATACACTTTGCACATGGGCCACATTAAAGCACAATCAAGGCACAGATCCAAAGAGCTTATTGCTCACTATGCAGAGCCTTGTTCTATGCTGTATGAATATTCACAGGAAGGTCATTAAGGGGGTAGGGAAAAAAAGGTTCGCCCCTTTAGAGGATGTCCCACAGAGAAGCCAACTTGTCCTTGGAATCAGTTCCATGATGCCGCTGAGAATACTGAAATAAATTAGAGCTCCTGATGCTCTAATCCATGAGGAGGGGTATTTCATTATGTGTAAAATATGGGTTAAGCATTATTCTATTAAAATGTACATCATTAGCCTTAAATGCTACATGCTGCTCTTCAGAAAGGTCATTGCTTTGGATGGAAGTACTGACAGAATCAGTAACGCTAGTTTGTCTGACCATGAATCTGGCACGGGTTGTTTCAGGGCCTGATCTTGCAACACTTCATGTAATGCCATTAACTGAGGTGAGGCAACTTGTATTAGCAAAGGAGGGAAGATCTGGCCCTGAATCTGCAAAATGGTTGTTATTACTGCCTGTTGGTGGCTTTGTCGTTGACAAAAGATGGGAGTACGGACTGTTAAACCTCAATAGCTGGTCTAGTTGCTGTAAGAAATGTGAAGAGAAGAATGCCTATCACACAGCAGTCTCTGAATGTGGTGTTAGCATCCTTCATTTTAATTAAAACTGTGGTATAAGAAAGTGTGATTTAATAACAGCGTTGGGTAAGTGCCCAGGTTAGAACACAAGTAGGACACCTTCAGGGCCAGGATTAATTAAAGTGAGGGCACTCCCCAGTGCAAGGCAGCCAACAGGATGAGGGACAGCACTAATAATTGGAGTTCAAAGCCAGACCCTTCCCTGCAGCTGCTGTCGGACCTCCCCAGCAAGAGAATAAGGTTGCTCTGCTCTGGGAGCAGGAAGATAAGATTCCAGAAGAACTGACCTGATATAGTGTCTCCAAGGCACAACGTGAATCTCATCCATAGAGGAACTCTCAGCATGGGGGTGTGTAGGATGGGGCACGTGATGTGTAGCCAAGCGATACCTTGTGCTTTTCTTCATTTTCCCTTCAGGAGAGGCTGAAGGAGCTAAATAAGTGGCCATAGAAGCTACTTCGGCTTCATAGCTGCTCGGTAGCATACACATCAGCCTAGCACCACCCAGCTTCTATATTCCACTGCCTTTGAGTAGCAAATCTGCCTTAACAGGTGTGATCCTGCAGTCCATTCAATAGCATAATTGGGGGAAGCGACAGGGGTACCAGTTGTAGGCACTGACTTGGGAGGCGAGCAAAAATAGCAGCTGCTGCTTCTTGTTTCATCCTGGTGCTGCCATTACCTCTGGCAACCTGGCCACTGCCCCTGCCCCCAGTGCCGCTTCTACCCAGGGTGCAGAACTGCCCAACTTCACGTCTCCCATTCACAGACTATGTCCCTGTTTACTTTAGTGGGAATTTTGTCTGTATAGGGGCTGCATGAATAAACCCTAAGTCAATGGGTTTACTCTACTAGTAGGTTTAACTCTACTTATGCATTTCAATCTATTTTTAAATTCCTTAAGACAGCTTCTTTCTTTGTTTTCCTTTTCTGGCTGGTGGCAGTCAAAATTCTGATTTCCTGCATGTTTCACGGATTTTGGCCAAGTCTGATGAGGGAAGGTTGTGATGAAAGGAACAAAGGCTTAAGGACTACCTGTAATTTTGTGCTCTCACTTTCATACTGATGTGTTACTGATGATTATTGAAGATCAATGTTTTAAGTTAGTAAATATCAACCATTGATATTGATCCTCTGAGCTTTTAAAAAAAAACCTCTGATTTCCCTGCAAGCAAGTTCTTTGAACATTACAAATAGCTGGATCTCTCTGTTTGTTTTTTTTTGATTGGGCACTTAATTGAAAAAGGATAGAAAGAGAGAATCCCACCTGCTTTGTAACACATGTACCACGTTAAAAATGGCCTTGTCTTCTAAAACATGCAGTGCAGGATTGTATTAAATATAGGTGTGAACATATTCATGTAGTGCTTTGGGTTTAAGCCAGTCTATTATGTTTTAACATCTTGCTTAAGTACTGATGTTGACAGGTTGTTGGGTTTTTTTCCAACAATGAAATAGTGGTGATGAATAGGGGGTGCACGGGGGTGCATGTGCACCCCTGAGAGCGTTGGTGCACCCCCTGTCAGCCACCGTTCCCAGGTGGAGGGGGTCAAGCGAGAGTGCTGGGGCCCTCCCGGAGAGCACCGGCTAGGGAGTGTGCCAGGAGAAGTGGTCCCCACCATGGTGGCTGATCCCGCCAATGCAGAAGTGCCAGCAGTGTGGCTGGAAGTTTCAGCAGCACACCGCTGCCAGTTGCAGGTTGGCAGGATTGGCTGCTGTGTGGGGACCCTTCCCCCGGTCAGCAGGATCAGCCACGGGCGGACCCCCTTGGCTTGTGGGATTGGCCATAGTGGGTCCCCCCACCCAGTTTCTGACTGTTCAGACTGGGGGGGGGGGGGGGGAGGGGCCCCCCCCCCCCCCAAATCCAGGAGGCACCAGTTGCCCATACAATGGAATAAGCCATGTCTTTTCAGAGGGAAGTCCATCTACTCATAAACAGCTAGTTAATTTTCTGTTTATCCTACAGAAGCAGGTCAGCTTTTACAAAAAGGTCTCTAACATTTCTAGACCTGGATATTGAATAGCAACTAGTGATACCAGGTGCTCTCATTTTGGAGTACACAGTCAGAAGTACCTGAATATGCCTGATGTTTAAAAAGGGCTGAGTATCCACACTCAGAAATTAAAGATCTTTTAACCATCACAAAATGAGCACTCAAAATTACTAATCACTTTTTCAAATGATAGTCCGTCTCAAATAACAAATGCATGGTTGCTACAATTTACCAACAATTACATTGAGGCCATAAGAGGTACAGACATAAGTGCAGATCCCAGCTATAACTCAGAACAATTTTT